TGACAACTCTATGGTAGGTAAAGTTAATGTGACTGACAACTTTATGATAGATAAAGTTAATGTGACTGACAACTCTATGCTAGGTAAAGTTACTGTGACTGACCACTCTGTGGTAGGTACATTTAATGTGACTGACAACTCTATGGTAGGTACAGTTAATGTGACTGACAACTATAGTAGGTAAAGTTAATGTGACTGACCACTCTATGGTAGGTAAAGTTACTGTAACTGACAACTATAGTAGGTAAAGTTAATGTGACTGACAACTATGGTAGTAAAGTTAATGTGACTGATAATTCTATGGTAGGTAAAGTTAATGTGACTGACAACTGTATGGTAGGTAAAGTTACTGTGACTGATCACTCTATGGTAGGTAAAGTTAATGTGACTGACAACTATGGTAGTAAAGTTAATGTGACTGACAATTCTATGGTAGGTAAAGTTAATGTGACTGACAACTCTATGGTAGGTAAAGTTACTGTGACTGACCACTCTGTGGTAGGTAAAGTTAATGTGACTGACAACTCTATGGTAGGTAAAGTTAATGTGACTGACAACTCTATGGTAGGTAAAGTTAATGTGACTGACAACTCTATGGTAGGTAAAGTTAATGTGACTGACAACTCTATGGTAGGTAAAGTTAATGTGACTGACAACTCTATGGTAGGTAAAGTTAATGTGACTGACAACTCTATGGTAGGTAAAGTTAATGTGACTGACAACTCTATGGTAGGTAAAGTTAATGTGACTGACAACTCTATGGTAGGTAAAGTTAATGTGACTGACAACTCTATGGTAGGTAAAGTTAATGTGACTGACAACTCTATGGTAGGTAAAGTTAATGTGACTGACAACTCTATGGTAGGTAAAGTTAATGTGACTGACAACTCTATGGTAGGTAAAGTTAATGTGACTGACAACTCTATGGTAGGTAAAGTTAATGTGACTGACAACTCTATGGTAGGTAAAGTTAATGTGACTGACAACTCTATGGTAGGTAAAGTTAATGTGACTGACAACTCTATGGTAGGTAAAGTTAATGTGACTGACAACTCTATGGTAGGTAAAGTTAATGTGACTGACAACTCTATGGTAGGTAAAGTTAATGTGACTGACAACTCTATGGTAGGTAAAGTTAATGTGACTGACAACTCTATGGTAGGTAAAGTTAATGTGACTGACAACTCTATGGTAGGTAAAGTTAATGTGACTGACAACTCTATGGTAGGTAAAGTTAATGTGACTGACAACTCTATGGTAGGTAAAGTTAATGTGACTGACAACTCTATGGTAGGTAAAGTTAATGTGACTGACAACTCTATGGTAGGTAAAGTTAATGTGACTGACAACTCTATGGTAGGTAAAGTTAATGTGACTGACAACTCTATGGTAGGTAAAGTTAATGTGACTGACAACTCTATGGTAGGTAAAGTTAATGTGACTGACAACTCTATGGTAGGTAAAGTTAATGTGACTGACAACTCTATGGTAGGTAAAGTTAATGTGACTGACAACTCTATGGTAGGTAAAGTTAATGTGACTGACAACTCTATGGTAGGTAAAGTTAATGTGACTGACAACTCTATGGTAGGTAAAGTTAATGTGACTGACAACTCTATGGTAGGTAAAGTTAATGTGACTGACAACTCTATGGTAGGTAAAGTTAATGTGACTGACAACTCTATGGTAGGTAAAGTTAATGTGACTGACAACTCTATGGTAGGTAAAGTTAATGTGACTGACAACTCTATGGTAGGTAAAGTTAATGTGACTGACAACTCTATGGTAGGTAAAGTTAATGTGACTGACAACTCTATGGTAGGTAAAGTTAATGTGACTGACAACTCTATGGTAGGTAAAGTTAATGTGACTGACAACTCTATGGTAGGTAAAGTTAATGTGACTGACAACTCTATGGTAGGTAAAGTTAATGTGACTGACAACTCTATGGTAGGTAAAGTTAATGTGACTGACAACTCTATGGTAGGTAAAGTTACTGTGACTGACCACTCTGTGGTAGGTAAAGTTAATGTGACTGACAACTCTATGGTAGGTAAAGTTAATGTGACTGACAACTATAGCAGGTAAAGTTAATGTGACTGACAACTCTATGGTAGGTTAAGTTAATGTGACTGACAACTATAGCAGGTAAAGTTGATGTGACTGACAACTCTATGGCAGGTAAAGTTAATGTGACTGACAACTCTATGGTAGGTAAAGTTAATGTGACTGACAACTCTATGGTAGGTAAAGTTAATGTGACTGACAACTCTATGGTAGGTAAAGTTAATGTGACTGACAACTCTATGGTAGGTAAAGTTAATGTGACTGACAACTCTATGGTAGGTAAAGTTAATGTGACTGACAACTCTATGGTAGGTAAAGTTAATGTGACTGACAACTCTATGGTAGGTAAAGTTACTGTGACTGACAACTCTATGGTAGGTAAAGTTAATGTGACTGACAACTCTATGGTAGGTAAAGTTACTGTGACTGACCACTCTATGGTAGGTAAAGTTACTGTGACTGACCACTCTATGGTAGGTAAAGTTAATGTGACTGACAACTCTATGGTAGGTAAAGTTACTGTGACTGACCACTCTGTGGTAGGTAAAGTTAATGTGACTGACAACTCTATGGTAGGTAAAGTTACTGTGACTGACCACTCTGTGGTAGGTAAAGTTAATGTGACTGACAACTATATGGTAGGTAAAGTTACTGTGACTGACCACTCTGTGGTAGGTAAAGTTAATGGGACTGACCACTCTATGGTAGGTAAAGTTAATGGGACTGACCACTCTATGGTAGGTAAAGTTAATGTGACTGACAACTATAGCAGGTAAAGTTAATGTGACTGACAACTATATGGTAGGTAAAGTTACTGTGACTGACCACTCTGTGGTAGGTAAAGTTAATGTGACTGACCACTCTATGGTAGGTAAAGTTACTGTGACTGACCACTATGGTAGGTAAAGTTAATGTAACTGACAACTCTATGGTAGGTAAAGTTTCTGTGACTGACCACTCTATGGTAGGTAAAGTTAATGTGACTGACCACTCTAGGGTAGGTAAAGTTTATGTGACTTACAACTCTATGGTAGGAAAAGTTAATGTGACTGTCAACTATATGGTAGGAAAAGTTAATGTGACTTACCACTCTATGGTAGGTGATGTTAATGTGACTGACAAGTATATTAGGTAAAGTTACTGTTACTGACCACTATGGTAGGTAAAGGTAAGGTGACTGACAACTCTAATGTAGGTAAAGTTAATGAGACTGACAACTATAGCTGACAACTATGGTAGTAAAGTTAATGTGACTGACAACTCTATTGTAGGTAAAGTTACTATGACTGACAACTATGGTAGGTAAAGTTAATGTGACTGACAACTATAGTAGGTAAAGTTACTGTGACTGACAACTCTAATGTAGGTAAAGTTAATGTGACTGGCAACTCTATGGTAGGTAAAGTTATGTGACTGACAACTCTGTGGTAGGTAAGGTTATGTGACTGACAACTCTATGGTAGGTAAAGTTAATGTGACTGACAACTATAGTAGGTAAAGTTACTGTGACTGACAACTCTATGGTAGGGAAAGTTAATGTGACTGACAACTCTATTGTAGGTAAAGTTACTATGACTCACAACTATGGTAGGTAAAGTTAATGTGACTGACAACTATAGTAGGTAAAGTTACTGTGACTGACAACTCTATGGTAGGGAAAGTTAATGTGACTGACAACTCTATTGTAGGTAAAGTTAATGTGACTGACAATTCTATGGTAGGTACAGTTAATGTGACTGACAACTCTATGGTAGTCAGGGTCACTACATGTACAAAGACCAGTCTGTGACTAGTTAGGGCCCCGTATCTGTCTGTCTGTTTACAAATTGTGTTCCTGGCTGATAACTTTGTTATTAATTGACAGATTTACATGAAACTTGGTCAAGATGTTCAGTTCAAAAATACACACTGAGGTAAAAAGTTGAGGTCAAAAGTCAAGGTCTTTAGGTTCAAAGGTCGAGGTCAAATTTTGCATCTTCTCACTGATGAACATTTTGTTATGACATGATGATGCAAAGTTGATCAGAATTAAACAAGGAGTCAACTGACCAAAGGTCAAGATCGTCAGATCAAGATCAGAGATCAAGGTCAAATTTTGTAGCTTTTCACTAATGAGCATTTGGTGACATGAAGCAAAGTTGGTCGGAATTAAACAAAGAGTCAATTGACCAAAGGTCAAGGTCACTGGGTTAAAGCTCAAGTTGAAATTTTGTATCTTTTCCCTGATGAACATTTTGTTATGACATCATGAAGCAAAGTTGGTCGGAATTTAACAAAGAGACAATTGACTTAAGGTCAAGGTCACTTGGTCAAAGGTCAATGTTGAATTTTGTATCTTTTCACTGGTGAACATTTCGTTATGACACTTTGAAGCAATGTTGGACGGAATTGAACAAGGAGTCATTTGACCAAAGGTCAAGGTAACTGGGTTAAAGGTCATAGTCAAATTTTGTATATTTTCACTGATGAACATTTATTTTTGTTATTATGAAGCAAAGTTGTTCAGAACTTAAAACGGAATTAAAGAATAAGTCAACTGACCACAGATCAGGGTCACTGGGTTAAATGTCAAGGTCATTTGGGTCCAAAGGTCAAAGACAAAGTGGATCTCAGACTTTGACCTTGGCTCTTGATGGAGGAGGTTTTTAAGGTGAAATTAAACAAATCAAAGCTAACAAATTAGTATTGCACCGGTATTTACATTTCTGTTAGCCCAGCAAATATGGAGGTGGAAGGAAACAAGACTCACATCATAGTACATGTTGAGTGTATATTTTGCTTCCTTGCGATTCTTTTTGAAGTCCAAATGTCAAACGTCAAGCTCAGCTATATGGGCAGATTGCTTCTTGATGATTATGGGGGAGTATACTGCCATAAGACGGGGCCCTTACTGACCTGTCAGTGTTCTAGTTAAAAACAACATTCATACCAAGGTAAACAAGTGTTATTTTAATGTTGCGTGTACAGAGCTAGGTGACGACCAAACTTTGGTCCTACGAGCGAGACTGGTATTGGTACAAGGGTTTGTAGTGTCCCTCCCCGAGGGTGAAGTACGCATCACTTTTGTAGTTCCAACAAATGGACTCCCCAAGTGACTCGTGTATGTACGGAAGCTCGTATGGGTGTTTGGTGACGGCTGCCAGATAGTCACCGTCGGGCACGTTCCAGTAGTATACGTGATATTTGGCCTTGATGAGGAGCCTTTTGCCATCTGGAGAGATATCGGCTGCTGTGGGGTCGTGGTGTGAAGTGCGTATAAGTAAAGTAGTTGTGCTGGCCACATTGGTAGGAACAGCTTGGCCCCATGCAGGAGGCAGCTTCAAAAACGTACCCCGGCCACCCAGAACGTTGGACACGATGTACACATTGGCCTGAGGATCAACCATGACCGCTTGGGACTCTTCCTCCGTCCAGCTAAAATTAACATAGGAAAGACCATATAAACACAGCACCATACCATGACAGTAACATAGTCAAATATTGCAAGGGCGAATGCAGCGTTTCAAAAAAAAATCTCTACCTTTATGTTAAAGATGCTTTTTAGCTGAGTTTGGGGTTTTGGAAGGGAGAAGACGACATCCATCTTACGATGTCACAGTACAACTATTTTAGAACCTTTCCAGCAGAGCAGAATAAGGTCTCGGGTATACCAGTACTATGTCCACTGGCGACGCGGAGGAAGATAAATGAACAGCCCAGGAAGATTAATGAACAGCCCAGGAAGATTAATGAATAGCCCAGATAATTAATGAATAGCCCAGATAATTAATGAATAGCCCAGATAATTATTTCATTTGATGAAGTTTGGGTCGAAACACTGAAATTAGAATACGCTCTAAGCTAGTTTTCCAATCCCTGTGTCATTATATGTATGTAATCAGAGACATATAAAGCCATGTAGTATATAGACGTCTCTGATGTTATTAACATATGTTTGGATATTGAATTAATACTGTTTAAACTTTAAACTATTTAAACTAATTTATTTTTTCCCTGATGTTGAGGGATCTTAATCTTCCACACCAAGCGTAGTGAGGCTTATTTTTTTTCTTTAACTTGTCCAAAATATAGATGTCAGCGAAAGTGTTGATGTTTGTGACCTGACTGACAAAAAGGACCAAGGAAAGCAGGGATGCACACCATCCGAATCCACCCTCACCTTCTCTTGGTATTTGATACGTACTTGAATTTAAGAGTACTGTCTACTGTGAGTGTTTGATATTTGTCAGTCAAGCTGGCTGGTTCCTGGACACGGTAGATGATGTTAGCCACCTCGGCATTGGCACTTGAGAAACCGGTGTCTGCAATATAGATGCAGAAGGTGGTCGCTCCATTTGAGCATGGTCCCACGGCCACGTCTTCCCAGTCATGGTTGGTGGCCCCACTGCCAATGGTGAGGGTGGAAACGAGGGATGCGTCACTGGCGTTGATAGCATAAATGTGAGGGGCGTCACCGTGGTCGTTGTGTGTGTATAGGATCCCCTCGTGAAGCTGGCTTGCCGCCAGACCAGACGCCTCGTCTATGATCGGCGTACCGATGTACCCCATCACCAGACCATTGCCAAAGTTGGGAACTGCTGACAAATGACACAGAAATTAAAAAGTCCTCAAACAAAGCGGACAGATAGTAGCAACCATCATCCGACAGACTAGCAACCATCATGTGACAGATTAGCAACCATCATTCGACAGATTAGCAACCATCATGTGACAGATTAGCAACCATCATGTGACAGATTAGCAACCATCATCCGACAGATTAGCAACCATCATGTGACAGATAAGTAACCATCATTCGACAGATTAGCAACCATCATGTGACAGATTAGCAACCATCATGTGACAGATTAGCAACCATTATGTGACAGATTAGCAACCATCATGTGACAGATTAGCATCCATCGTCCGACAGTTTGCTACTGTGTCCCCACAAACAGGGACAGAAACAGCACGTACAGCAGGGACAGAAACAGCACGTACAGCAGGGACAGAAAAAATCAGGTAAGAATATTCCTACTAATTTGACTATTGATCATTACGCTAAATTAATAAAATTAAAAAAAGGGTTTCAATAGAATCAAGAAACATAAAACGAAGATTGCCCAGTCGAGTTGATACAGATGACGATATAGCTGTTCGTTACTTAAAGTACTGTAAACTCTTATTTTATCGGACTCAAAATATTATTGGGTTTAAATAAATTAGCGCATTGATGAATTGGCGTACTCACAATATATGCAATAAGAAATTATATACTGAAGCTTTTAACAGTGTAGTCATAAGGTGAGGTCAACATTCGACCCACTTCAACTTATTGTATTTTTTCGCCATAATTATGTAGATTCAAGAAAATGAACAACAAATGCCTATGTGATTATTCATTATTACTACCGATAAATGGAGTGGACCTCCTTGCATAACACCAGGTTGAGTGACGGGGTTACAAATAAATGTCACAGGCGAATGTAATTTTTAAAATGAATTATGATGGTATATAGTGTATACAATTACTGTTATTTTGATACCAAACATGTCATATTGATATACATGAAGTAAGCGTACTGATACTTTTAATTAGGAAAACATGCAAAATCATAACAAGATTTTAAATATATCCAACATTGTCAACTTGTCTATGTATAGTTACAATGGTGGTCTATATTGGATACTACTTAAAAGACTTTCCATGTATATATCATGTCTACAGAATCATTTGTATGTCATATAAAAACCGTTAAAGTACTATTTAGGCATGCCAAACATGGCCAATGCACAAGTTCACATAATCATTAAGATTTGATTATCAATGTTTATTATGGTAAACACCGATACATATTCTGTTGTTTTTTTTTATTGTATCAAAACATTTCAATACATTATGCCTGTTTTTAAGTTATGTGCAGCAGTGATAACTCATAAATATGTATTCTGCAAAAGTAATATTTCCTCTGGAGAACTACTTAAGGTTGAGATTGTGTTATAGACAAAGATATGCAATAATAAAACTAATCTACACTTAGTATTATTTTATTTTGTCTTTTGCCCAATTATTAAACAAAATATGAATGAATATTACAATATTATATATATATATAACTCAACAAGTAAAGCAAGAAAAGATATCCTTGTCGGATCCCAATACCAAAATTATATTTCAGCACATTAGATTCTTGTGACCTTGAACGAAGGCCAAGGTCATACAATAATAATAATATACAACATTTATATAGCGTCCTATATAATTTGTAAAATTACTCTAAAGCGCTTTACAACATATGGATAATAGTAATGTTTATAATTGTGAAAACAAAAAAACAAAGGCGTACAATCGCTTTTATTTATTTAAGCAAGCAATGTGCACATAATTGAACAAATAAAAGGGTGGTATTTACATGGCGTCTTTGCAAGGATTCTGAAATGCAGACGTGAAGAGGTGAGTTTTGATGTCCCTCTTGAACTTGGCCAGGGTATTTGACTTTCTAATAGCAGATGGTAAGCTATTCCACAACGTAGCCGAAACCCTCCCAAAGCATCTGTTTCCGTAGATCACAGTACGAGATTTTGGGACACACAACGAAGATTCCGACTCCTACCGCAGTGATCGTAAAGGCATACAGGGTAACAAGCTCCAATGTTTACCAACGTATATCCATTCACATGAACAACCTACTTGCCAAATATCAAGACCCAAGAACCTTTGATCATGAAGAAACATAATTTAAAGGAAAAGTGGAAAGAAAGCTTTTTTCTTTTCTTTTTTTTTTCAAATCAAATTTGTTATACGACAAAATTACCAGTTGTCATTTTTTTGGGGAGAATTCGTCATGTTGAAAGATATTATTGGTAGCCAACTTTTAAGCAAATATGAAAAATAGACTCGTTTTAGAACTGTGTAAATTAATGTGTCAAAAATGGGAATCCTCTCATTTAGTTATTTAATTTCACATACTTTTCTGTTTAAATATTCAATAAAAAGGAAAAAAATCTTTTTTGAAATAGTGTACTATTTGGTAAAAAAATAAAAGTTGGAATATGTTGCACACAATGAAGATCTGATTTTATAGTAATTGTGTCATTTGAATGTTCTAGGAGGACTTGTATTACCACACCTTTAACAACCACACAGGTGGAAGTCCCATTTGTCGTAAAGTGAATTCTGAAACTAAGTGTTTCTGTTTTAAGCTTCCTGTACCCATACCTTTTTGTATTGATATTGTTTGAAAATCCAAGCAGGGGGCTGACGCTTATGTTAATTCTCCATAGGCGTTGACCCTTCCTGTAACAGGGCCGACGCTTATGCTAATTCTCCATAGGCGTTGACCCTACCTGTAACAGGACCGACGCTTATGTTAATTCTCCATAGGCGTTGACCCTACCTGTAGCAGGGCCGACGCTTATGCTAATTCTCCATAGGCGTTGACCCTTCCTGTAACAGGGCTGACGCTTATGTTAATTCTCCATAGGCGTTGACCCTACCTGTAACAGGACCGACGCTTATGTTAATTCTCCATAGGCGTTGACCCTTCCTGTAACAGGGCTGACGCTTATGTTAATTCTCCATAGGCGTTGACCCTACCTGTAACAGGGCCGACGCTTATGTTAATTCTCCATAGGCGTTGACCCTACCTGTAACAGGGCCGACGCTTATGTTAATTCTCCATAGGCGTTGACCCTACCTGTAACAGGGCCGACGCTTATGTTAATTCTCCATAGGCGTTGACCCTACCTGTAACAGGGCCGACGCTTATGTTAATTCTCCATAGGCGTTGACCCTACCTGTAACAGGGCCGACCCTTATGTTAATTCTCCATAGGCGTTGACCCTACCTATAGAGATCTTAAAAGTAAGCCTCTAAAGTATACGTATAGGTTTACGTGGTATAAGTTTATACGTTTATCCGAAGGGAGCTATACACTATCTTCGAAAATGCTTGTTAATTTGCTGCACATTTGAAATAATATATTGGAATAAAAATATCATAAAGAAACAATGTTTTGTGTTGATAGTAGAGTAAGAGACACAAGTTACCCAAACAATACACTGCTTTCACGCGCTTTTCATTCAGTACAACTGGCTATAGCTAGCCCTACCATATACAGACAGGTGTACAGGTGTATCGGTGGCGTTGAATGCACTGACCACGGTAAAACATGACTATGGAAGGGCATGGATAACACACTCACACAGCAATTTAATACTAACCTGTAAAATAAAGATGAAAAACAACTGACTAATAATTATTTAATATTCAATAAGTTTGCTGGAGACAGACAAACACGGAAAAATAAAAAAGGAAAAATCACTGGGCGAAGACGAGAACAGGAGCTCCAGATGAATAAGGTTTTGTTCCGCGCGTAGAACCCGCCATAATGTCTCCCGACACATCAGACAATATATGTAAGTATTTAAGACAAATTGAACTTGATATTAATCATAACAGATACGTTGATCCCATAGTGGGAAACAAGATCTGAATAGCGGTCCTACCATTTCTTTAGTGTTGATTGCAGTCTCGTAAGTACACCTGCTTATGTACATAACTTATTTGTCAATAGTGAGACTACTGAATAAATGAAGTTCACAATCGCAAAACTACATTCATCCCGTTAAGTTTGGTCTCAGGTGGCCATAGTTGTCGTAAGATGAGTAAACGATAAGATATGAAGCTCAGCTGAAGCAGAGAAGTCAGTGGTATCCTGGAGGATGTATGGCATGTACAGTACATAGTCATCAAACTTCATACGGCATGTACTGTAAATCACTTATATTTCGCGTATACTTTATTTCGCGATCTGACACCTAATGATTTATTCGCGTAATATATTAAAATTGAATAATGACAGTACCATACATTACAGGTATGCTACAGTTATATAGTTATTCCAAAGGTATATATTTTCACGACGGAGTTTTCACGCGAATTAACACTAAAATAAATACCTCGCGAATTATAAATGATTTACAGTGCATAGTGATCAAAGTTCGTGTTATTCAGAGGCAATACATCCCCAATATAGCTTGGCATCATCTTACCGTCACGGCCGTATACACTGTCGCTGATGTACCCGTATTTTAGTGATATGCAAAGTCTACTACATAAAATGCACGTGCAAGTAGTGTATTGCTCGCGTAGATCGTGCCCATGCTCCACAATGACAACTCAAAGTACTTCTGACGTCTATAAGTATCCCAAAATATCCCAAATTGATAAATACATTTTTTGACAGGTTTAACAAAATAATGTATGCTGCCTTCGGATAAACGGATAAACTTATGCATAAACGTAAACGTATACGTTAGGGGCTTATTTTAAAGATCTCTACTAGCGTGGCAGACGCTTATGCTAATTATCCATCGGCGTTGATCCTACCTTTAGCGGTGACGACGCTTATGCTAATTCTCCATAGGTGTTGATCCTACCTTTAGCGCGGCCGACGTTTAAGCTAATTCTCCATAGGCGTTGACCCTACCTTTAGCGGTGACGACGCTTATGCTGATTTTCCATAGGTGTTGATCCTACCTTTAGCGCGGCCGACGCTTATGCTAATTCTCCATAGGCGTTGATCTTACCTTTAGCGGTGACGACGCTTATGCTAATTCTCCATAGGCGTTGATCCTACCTTTAGCGGTGACGACGCTTATGTTAATTTTCTATATGCGTTGACCCTACCTGTAACAGGGCCGACGTTTATGTTAATTCTCCATAGGCGTTGATCCTACCTTTAGCAAACATGTCATATTGATATACATGAAGTAAGCGTACTGATACTTTTAATTAGGAAAACATGCAAAATCATAACAAGATTTTAAATATATCCAACATTGTCAACTTGTCTATGTATAGTTACAATGGTGGTCTATATTGGATACTACTTAAAAGACTTTCCATGTATATATCATGTCTACAGAATCATTTGTATGTCATATAAAAACCGTTAAAGTACTATTTAGGCATGCCAAACATGGCCAATGCACAAGTTCACATAATCATTAAGATTTGATTATCAATGTTTATTATGGTAAACACCGATACATATTCTGTTGTTTTTTTTTATTGTATCAAAACATTTCAATACATTATGCCTGTTTTTAAGTTATGTGCAGCAGTGATAACTCATAAATATGTATTCTGCAAAAGTAATATTTCCTCTGGAGAACTACTTAAGGTTGAGATTGTGTTATAGACAAAGATATGCAATAATAAAACTAATCTACACTTAGTATTATTTTATTTTGTCTTTTGCCCAATTATTAAACAAAATATGAATGAATATTACAATATTATATATATATATAACTCAACAAGTAAAGCAAGAAAAGATATCCTTGTCGGATCCCAATACCAAAATTATATTTCAGCACATTAGATTCTTGTGACCTTGAACGAAGGCCAAGGTCATACAATAATAATAATATACAACATTTATATAGCGTCCTATATAATTTGTAAAATTACTCTAAAGCGCTTTACAACATATGGATAATAGTAATGTTTATAATTGTGAAAACAAAAAAACAAAGGCGTACAATCGCTTTTATTTATTTAAGCAAGCAATGTGCACATAATTGAACAAATAAAAGGGTGGTATTTACATGGCGTCTTTGCAAGGATTCTGAAATGCAGACGTGAAGAGGTGAGTTTTGATGTCCCTCTTGAACTTGGCCAGGGTATTTGACTTTCTAATAGCAGATGGTAAGCTATTCCACAACGTAGCCGAAACCCTCCCAAAGCATCTGTTTCCGTAGATCACAGTACGAGATTTTGGGACACACAACGAAGATTCCGACTCCTACCGCAGTGATCGTAAAGGCATACAGGGTAACAAGCTCCAATGTTTACCAACGTATATCCATTCACATGAACAACCTACTTGCCAAATATCAAGACCCAAGAACCTTTGATCATGAAGAAACATAATTTAAAGGAAAAGTGGAAAGAAAGCTTTTTTCTTTTCTTTTTTTTTTCAAATCAAATTTGTTATACGACAAAATTACCAGTTGTCATTTTTTTGGGGAGAATTCGTCATGTTGAAAGATATTATTGGTAGCCAACTTTTAAGCAAATATGAAAAATAGACTCGTTTTAGAACTGTGTAAATTAATGTGTCAAAAATGGGAATCCTCTCATTTAGTTATTTAATTTCACATACTTTTCTGTTTAAATATTCAATAAAAAGGAAAAAAATCTTTTTTGAAATAGTGTACTATTTGGTAAAAAAATAAAAGTTGGAATATGTTGCACACAATGAAGATCTGATTTTATAGTAATTGTGTCATTTGAATGTTCTAGGAGGACTTGTATTACCACACCTTTAACAACCACACAGGTGGAAGTCCCATTTGTCGTAAAGTGAATTCTGAAACTAAGTGTTTCTGTTTTAAGCTTCCTGTACCCATACCTTTTTGTATTGATATTGTTTGAAAATCCAAGCAGGGGGCTGACGCTTATGTTAATTCTCCATAGGCGTTGACCCTTCCTGTAACAGGGCCGACGCTTATGCTAATTCTCCATAGGCGTTGACCCTACCTGTAACAGGACCGACGCTTATGTTAATTCTCCATAGGCGTTGACCCTACCTGTAGCAGGGCCGACGCTTATGCTAATTCTCCATAGGCGTTGACCCTTCCTGTAACAGGGCTGACGCTTATGTTAATTCTCCATAGGCGTTGACCCTACCTGTAACAGGACCGACGCTTATGTTAATTCTCCATAGGCGTTGACCCTTCCTGTAACAGGGCTGACGCTTATGTTAATTCTCCATAGGCGTTGACCCTACCTGTAACAGGGCCGACGCTTATGTTAATTCTCCATAGGCGTTGACCCTACCTGTAACAGGGCCGACGCTTATGTTAATTCTCTATAGGCGTTGACCCTAGCTGTAACAGGGCCGACGTTTATGTTAATTCTCCATAGGCGTTGACCCTACCTGTAACAGGACCGACGCTTATGTTAATTCTCCATAGGCGTTGACCCTAGCTGTAACAGGGCCGACGCTTATGTTAATTCTCTATAGGCGTTGACCCTGCCTTTAGCGCAACATTTAAAGCACGAAAAGCTCTCTCATTAGACTACCGCGAACTTATGTACGGTTAGAGTATTTTATAGTGTGTTTTTATCGGCTATTACATGTTCAACAAAAGGTCTTACTTTGGGCGTGCACCGCCACACAGGAGGCAAGAGCGAGGAGAAGCTGTACAGCCATTGTCACTGGTCGTCTGTCTGGTAGTCACAGCATTGGTAGGGCAAGGTTACACTGGCCACAGCTCAAGGTCTGCCACGATAAGACCACATCATGACGTCTTACATACGCACGAAGTCCATACTTTGACCTTGTTTTATATATCTAACATCAATAAAATACGCCCCCACAAATTCACCCCTTCAAGGAGTTTATTTTGCTACACAGTAATTATTTGTTTTATATAGAAGTTCTTGAAGCGCAAACAGTAAATGTTTTTTTGTTTGGCGTTTCGATGACAACTTCACTACTTTTATCATAATCTTCACTAGACTTCACGAATATAGTGCATGATTAGAATAAGACATCATTCTTTTTCAGGTCATTATGTCAGGAATACATTCAGGGAGCTCATTTAAGCAATGTGTCTGCTCTTTTTTTGTATCGGGTTATGGTGCCTGGTCTCGTTTTCCTGACTGTCTGGGTAATGTCTAATGATGTCCGAAAACATGTTATAATATAGGACGATGTCTGATTCTGATACTTTGGGGGGTCCTATGTCTAGATCTGCGTCTGCTGTGACTAGGTTTGTTTTGGACCAGATTCTCTATGATTAGATTGTCCTTCACCATCATGTTCGCCTGAAGTCTTGTAAATGATGCAATTTAAAAAAAATACCTCTTGTGTATAACAGATGATTTTTTTCTGGACATTTAACACGTTTATTTACTGCCATATTCATCCGAATTTTTTAAGTATTCGGAATAATTTCTTCTGTTTCTTTATCCTTATTTGTCACAACCTTTGCCTGATTTCTATGGTTCTTAGATGCTCATTTAACCAACATCATTTGGTAGACAGTTTTCTAAATCCCTTCTTCCTAATGACACTTTTCCCTCCGATACTGTATGATCAGTAAGGAGCTGAAACTTGGAAAGAGAAACCGGTAACCTCCTCTTGTCTTTGATCGCCAGCTTCAAGCCTGGATATTTCTATTCTGCTGTCTGCATGCCTTCCTTATTCACATTTATGATCCTATAGCTTCTAGTGTGGCCCAAAATAGTGGCCCTCTGCCAGCGCCTGTCCCTCTGATTTATACTTTTAAATAAATCCAAGTCTTTCTCCATCATGAAGATATTAAAATGTGGTCGTATGGATTTCCGTTGGCTTTCTTTTCCACGTCAACTCGTGGAACAAGTTCTCTGGAGAGTTCTCCGTTCTGTTGTCAGAAGATTTGCGTGTTAGTTTGTGAACTGGTTCTCCGTTCTGTTGTCTGGTGATTTCCATATGAACTCGTGGAACAAGTTCTCCGTTCTGTTGTCTGTAGATTTGCTTGTTAACTCATGGAACAAGTTATCCGTTCTGTTGTCTGGAGATTTGCGTGTTAACTCGTGGAACAAATTCTCCGTTCTGTTGTCTGGTGTTTTGCGTGTTACCTCATGGAACAAGTTCTTCGTTCTGTTTTCCAAAAATTTCTATATAAACTTTTGGAACAAGTTCTCCGTTCTGTTGTCTGGAGGTTTGCGTGTTAACTCGTGGAACAAATTCTCCGCTCTGTTGTCTGGAGGTTTGCTTGTTAACTCGTGGAACAAATTCTCCGTTCTGTTGTCTGGAGGTTTGCGTGTTAACTCATGGAACAAGTTCTTCGTTCTGTTTTCCGGAGATTTCTATATAAACTTTTGGAACAAGTTCTCCGTTCTGTTGTCTGGAGGTTTGCGTGTTAACTCATGGAACAAGTTCTTCGTTCTGTTTTCCGGAGATTTCTATATAAACTTTTGGAACAAGTTCTCCGTTCTGTTGTCTGGAGGTTTGCGTGTTAACTCATGGAACAAGTTCTTCGTTCTGTTTTCCGGAGATTTCTATATAAACTTTTGGAACAAGTTCTCCGTTCTGTTGTCTGGAGGTTTGCGTGTTAACTCATGGAACAAGTTCTTCGTTCTGTTTTCCGGAGATTTCTATATAAACTTTTGGAACAAGTTCTCCGTTCTGTTGTCTGGAGGTTTGCGTGTTAACTCATGGAACAAGTTCTTCGTTCTGTTTTCCGGAGATTTCTATATAAACTTTTGGAACAAGTTCTCCGTTCTGTTGTCTGGAGGTTTGCGTGTTAACTCATGGAACAAGTTCTTCGTTCTGTTTTCCGGAGATTTCTATATAAACTTTTGGAACAAGTTCTCCGTTCTGTTGTCTGGAGGTTTGCGTGTTAACTCATGGAACAAGTTCTTCGTTCTGTTTTCCGGAGATTTCTATATAAACTTTTGGAACAAGTTCTCCGTTCTGTTGTCTGGAGGTTTGCGTGTTAACTCATGGAACAAGTTCTTCGTTCTGTTTTCCGGAGATTTCTATATAAACTTTTGGAACAAGTTCTCCGTTCTGTTGTCTGGAGGTTTGCGTGTTAACTCATGGAACAAGTTCTTCGTTCTGTTTTCCGGAGATTTCTATATAAACTTTTGGAACAAGTTCTCCGTTCTGTTGTCTGGAGGTTTGCGTGTTAACTCATGGAACAAGTTCTTCGTTCTGTTTTCCGGAGATTTCTATATAAACTTTTGGAACAAGTTCTCCGTTCTGTTGTCTGGAGGTTTGCGTGTTAACTCATGGAACAAGTTCTTCGTTCTGTTTTCCGGAGATTTCTATATAAACTTTTGGAACAAGTTCTCCGTTCTGTTGTCTGGAGGTTTGCGTGTTAACTCATGGAACAAGTTCTTCGTTCTGTTTTCCGGAGATTTCTATATAAACTTTTGGAACAAGTTCTCCGTTCTGTTGTCTGGAGGTTTGCGTGTTAACTCATGGAACAAGTTCTTCGTTCTGTTTTCCGGAGATTTCTATATAAACTTTTGGAACAAGTTCTCCGTTCTGTTGTCTGGAGGTTTGCGTGTTAACTCATGGAACAAGTTCTTCGTTCTGTTTTCCGGAGATTTCTATATAAACTTTTGGAACAAGTTCTCCGTTCTGTTGTCTGGAGGTTTGCGTGTTAACTCATGGAACAAGTTCTTCGTTCTGTTTTCCGGAGATTTCTATATAAACTTTTGGAACAAGTTCTCCGTTCTGTTGTCTGGAGGTTTGCGTGTTAACTCATGGAACAAGTTCTTCGTTCTGTTTTCCGGAGATTTCTATATAAACTTTTGGAACAAGTTCTCCGTTCTGTTGTCTGGAGGTTTGCGTGTTAACTCATGGAACAAGTTCTTCGTTCTGTTTTCCGGAGATTTCTATATAAACTTTTGGAACAAGTTCTCCGTTCTGTTGTCTGGAGGTTTGCGTGTTAACTCATGGAACAAGTTCTTCGTTCTGTTTTCCGGAGATTTCTATATAAACTTTTGGAACAAGTTCTCCGTTCTGTTGTCTGGAGGTTTGCGTGTTAACTCATGGAACAAGTTCTTCGTTCTGTTTTCCGGAGATTTCTATATAAACTTTTGGAACAAGTTCTCCGTTCTGTTGTCTGGAGGTTTGCGTGTTAACTCATGGAACAAGTTCTTCGTTCTGTTTTCCGGAGATTTCTATATAAACTTTTGGAACAAGTTCTCCGTTCTGTTGTCTGGAGGTTTGCGTGTTAACTCATGGAACAAGTTCTTCGTTCTGTTTTCCGGAGATTTCTATATAAACTTTTGGAACAAGTTCTCCGTTCTGTTGTCTGGAGGTTTGCGTGTTAACTCATGGAACAAGTTCTTCGTTCTGTTTTCCGGAGATTTCTATATAAACTTTTGGAACAAGTTCTCCGTTCTGTTGTCTGGAGGTTTGCGTGTTAACTCATGGAACAAGTTCTTCGTTCTGTTTTCCGGAGATTTCTATATAAACTTTTGGAACAAGTTCTCCGTTCTGTTGTCTGGAGGTTTGCGTGTTAACTCATGGAACAAGTTCTTCGTTCTGTTTTCCGAAGATTTCTATATAAACTTTTGGAACAAGTTCTCCGTTCTGTTGTCTGGTGATTTGCTTGTTAACTCCTGGAACTTGTTCTCCGTTCTTCTGTTTGGAGATTTTAATGTATACACCTGGAACTGGTTCTCTGTTCAGTGGTCTCTAGGGATTTATATATATAATAAAACAGAACATCACTGGGAATGTTATACAATAGCCTGCTTATACAGTACACATTTGGGACCGCTATATACAATATAACCTGTATAAACAGAACATCACTGGGAATGTTAAACAATAGCCTGCTTATACAGTACACATTTGGGACCGCTATATACAGTAAAACCTGTCTAAACAGAACACCAATGGGACCCATATATACAGTAAAACATGTCTAAACATAACACCACTATATACAGTAAAACATGTCTAAACAGAACAACACAATATACAGAAAAACCTGTCTAAACAGAATACGACTGGGATTGTTATATACAAATAGAGGCCCATGGGCCTTAAAGGTCACCTGATATATTTATACAGAGAGTTGATTTTGTTTTTAACATGAACAGAAATATTATTCAAAGTGACAAAAAACAATAAAACCACCTTATTCAATATCTAGCATACAGATTTCAGACTAAAAAGTATTTGAAACTAGCACCTCTGATTCTAAACAAGGAAAACGAAGAAATTTTAGCACACTGACTCCTTTGAGCCC